TAATTACAGTATTGTATGAAATAATTGATTTGATTACTACCGGTAATTTCATTTTATAACTCATTTTTATGAAATCTTCGTATTTCTATAGAAATTATGTTTTCCAAGAACTACGAAAATACAGTACTGTATTACCGTATGTATCAGAAATACAAAGTTTATCCATACGTATATTTTAATAATTTCTAAACACAATATAAGTTTATTTAAAGGTACTTTGTTATGATTATCAACTTTTTGAGGTCACAAACAAAAGCTGTTGAGTTCAAGGATTGGTTTCTAAAACTTACAAATATTTTATGAATTTATTAACTCTTCAATTGAAAAGTCAATCATAAGTTCAATAAATAATTTGCTGATTGTTATGATTACTGTAATATTCAATACCAACTCAATCACTATTAGACAAACATTTGCTAATTCTATTGTATTATTCAATTAAACACAAAGTATACGCTTATTATGTGTGAATACCTGCAAAAAGTGTTGAGATTCAACACAATAACTAAAATATATGCCAACCTTTGAATGAGTTGTTGCCATAAATTGCATCTAAATATTGAAGTCATTGAACTGAACACTATCCGATTGAATCACATCAGACTGAAAGCACTTTTATAACTTAATTCATGAATAGTTTAGTTTAGTTTAAATATACTTTATTTTATAAAATAAAAAATTGTTGCAAATATGCAGTTATATAACTAATTAGTAATCAAATATCTATTTATATGAGTGATCAGTGTATTGAGGGCTCACGGCTTAGACCAGTTGGTGCTGAGGGAGGGATCAGTGATTACTGAATACCAATATACGAGACAATTGTCAATAACTGATCCACAATACAGTGTACAGACTCTGTACTACAGAGTATAATGAATTGATGAGACAATTAGTACTATTACTATACCTTTACTATTACTGTTATAGTGTTCATAATTAGTTGAACACACATTTGATTTGCGAAAACCTGTTCAATGAGTGCGAAAAGTACTACCCTTTTGGTCACCACTGCCTCTCATCTAATTACACAATGACCTCAAAACGATGTCTAATAAGAGATAATCAACGGAATGGAAATACACTACAAATACACTCATTACTTGTATTAATATTGAGTTCACTATTGGGTCACAACTGATTGTCTGAAGTGTGAGATGTGTTCAACGAAACCACAAACAGGTCTTCAAGTCTTCATCTGAACACTGAATACAGTATTAGTCTTCATATTTTCAATCAACTCTTTATTCAATGCTTTGATAATGAAAAACACACGAAACACACAATTGAATCGGTTTTAGATTATTTCGGACATAAATTTAATGAATTTTTAATTTCAAAATCAAATCATCAGACAAACGGAAAGATAAATATATATTCATGTAATTTAGGCACAAATCATTAATAATAGTGTTTAAATTCTAAGTTATATATAAAATGTATTGATTTATTACAAATTTGTGTTTCAAATGTTTATATTTCGATACAAAATGACAACCGATTGGAAAAAATAATGACTTTTAGTGTGAATTAACACAAATAAGAGTACATTTAAATTGAAGTAAAAGAGAAAAATGAAAAATCAAAACAGAAATCGAGAGTTAATTATAATTTAAACAATAGTATTATAAAACAATTTTCATTACGTGTGTTAACTGTTAACAGATCTTCGGCGGCAATACTTAACATTAATTTATACATTCATATCAATAAATGTTATTCAATTTCATATTCAACTAACTGTAAAATGTTTGTAATTAACTCAAAAAATGCGATAATTTATTAATAAAACAAAACACAAATTCATTAATAGATATAATGACCAAAAAAGCAAAAAGTCCTCAAATCTGGTGCCACGACATCGTGTGTCGAAAAGAGTGGCGTTGTGTCGAGCGGTGTCTCTAATATCTACTGCCGCGTTGGCCGCCATACTGACCACCTCTGCCGCGCTCGCGACGCTCATTAGGACAGTCAGCGCTGATGTGTCCGACTTCGTTGCAGTTGAAGCACGTCTTTGGTCTCTCTTTGCGGGGCTCCGAGCAGTCGCGACTCAGGTGCGCCTCAGAGCCGCAGTTGTAGCACGTCTTGCCTCCGCCGCCACCACCGGCTCCGCCACCACTGCTGCCGCCAAAGCCGCGCTCCTTCTTGGGTTCGGTGCAGTCGCGCGAGAGGTGGCCCTCAGAGCCACAGTTATAGCACTTACGAGAGTCGCCGCCTCTCTCGCGCTTCGGTTGGTCGCACTCGCGAGAGATGTGTCCGCTTTGGCCACAGTTGTAGCAGTTCTGCCCCCGATTACGGCCACCGAACGACCGGTTCCCGTACCCGCCGCCCGACGAGCCGAAGCCGTTCCGGTTGTATCCACGGCTTTGGTCGCCATTACGCGACCGCCAGTTCTTCGAGTCTTCGCCCGAGTCGGAGCCCGAGTCACGTCTTTCAGACTTTCGGCGATTCAGGGAAACGACGAAAAGGAAGGCATTTATAAGTCATTTGCATTCAATTGACACGAAATCTCAAATCAATTCAAGACTTCATTACAAGAGATATCGTATTAACAGAGAAATACGTGTTATTAGTATTTCGGCCGCATTTACACCAGTGCTCAGCATATCATCCATTCATACATACCTTTTCCATTGCAGTCGATTCTGACATCTCTCGCCTCTACTTCACGTCCAGACAACAGTTGATCCAATCGATGAGTCAATTGATTTCAATTAAGAGACAATGATTACCACAAACACAGTAAATATGGATTCAATGCAATGACACGTGGATTACAAACCAGTGGTTCGTTAGAGCAATGCTTGTGAATAGACTGTGAGTGCGAGTAATGCGAGTAATGGTTGAATAGTGAGTATAGTCTCACTGCCATTGCATAAGTGTGGCAGTGATGCGCTCCCATTGGTCCACAGCCACCAACCATACGAGCGCACCGACCAATCATAGCAAACACAGCAACCACTCACTCTCTGACACTGTGTGGCGCCAAATACGACACACTCTCCACACACGCGTTGCACACACTGTGCCACAAATGCATGCATATAATAAGTCAACTGATCCAACTGATCCCACGTGCCCACTGCACATGACCATTCCACATGACCATTCCACATAACCATGCTCATGCCAGTCCATTATCACATTCATTGTATCGCTTATATGTACACAACAACTCCAACAGCCATGCGATCACACATGAAGTGAGTGAAGTAATGAAGACATGAATGGATCATCACTTGAGTGTAATTGTGGACACAGTTTACACTCATCTATCACCCAATGGTTGAGCGAATGAATGGTTAACTTTGAGATAAAATGCATTTATTGGGCATTGAATACATGATTGTGGAGAGCGTTGTAAATAAACTAAACATTGAATACATAAACTGAAAACACCATAAAATATAGGAATAATTGAAAACTGGATACAAATTGACATAAAATATGATAAATAAAAGATATATTAAATAAACTGAATGTTAAATAAATCTAAAAATCACTCATTTGTGAGAAAACAGAACTTCTTTGACTTGAGGTTGAGTTTTGGGACTTTATTGCCATCAAGTCTTCGCCTGAACTCAACTCACTCTGCGATGATCTCGGCTGAGGTTTGTCGTTGTGGTTACCACTCAACTGAAGTAGCGGTGATCTCTGGACATCGACATCATCGGTGGCGTCCACTGAATGCATTGATTTGTCCGTAAAGTACAGATCAGTGAACAGTTCCGAGTCATCGAACAATTGGAACTCGTTTTGTGACAAATTGTCTTCAGTTGAGTCCATGTGTTTGGTTTGTGGCCTATCACTGGTCCAGTGACTACACCCTTGGATTGGCATCACATCGGATGAAGTGCTCACCAATTGATTCAAGTCTTGAGATTTCATTTGCAATTCATTCTCATTATTATTGTCCACAAAACCATTGCTTTCATTATCAGTTGGTTTGAGTTTCTTGTGGACTCTTTCTGGTGGTGTGTTGTCGTGATATACACATGGCTTGTGGTGATGTTTATGGCTTTTAATGACAACCNACAATCGGTTTGATTAGCAATACTAATGGTGTATATGATTGACAGTAATTGTGGTCCATTTGATCCCATATATAGCTCTTTGCGTATATTCCCTGCTGTTCATGAGATTTGCGATACGAGTGAAGCCGCGAAATATGTTACTATTTTCGTGTCACTTCACCAATGAAGTGGCACAAGTGGTCCAGGGGTGCAGACTTGTCAATCATGAATACCTCACCCCTTCCACTCCCACCCCATGAAATCTCTCTCAAATCTCTTGTTATATGAAATTCTAGTAGAAATTACGAGTAATTTATAAATTAAATTATTGTATAATTAAATCTCAATCACACTTTTAGACATTGTTTTTATTTTGATTTAATTCAGAAATTGTTAAACCGTTAGATTTAGTGATAATACAATTACCGGTAATCAGACTTTGATATTAAATTTAATTATTATCTCAAAGTTGTTTGATTTTATTTATAACCAATTTTTGGTTTGTCATACAATTGTGATTTAACGCTAGTTTTGAAATAAAGATCACTTGAAAACATTACTTTCATACAGTAATACTTGTCATCACCGGTTAATTAGACTACTTTTGAATG